CAAATATCTGAATGTTTGTTGAGGATTTGCTTATTTTTATTGTAGGTCTTGCAATCGACTGCATAGCTAACCCCAAAGCAAAATAAAATTAATTCCTAGTTGATTAACTGGACTCTGATATACCATTTGAGGTTTCGAGTGCTTCCAATATTGAAAAGATGTTTCTGAATCACTGAAACTTGCTGAGCGAATGAAGCACGATCGGACTAATCTGAGCAGAAGGCGATTTGCTTTTTGAGAAATTATGGTGCGCGAGGGCAGAAAGTACAAACAATTATGTAATATACTGGATGCTCATTCAGAAAAAACTGCAGACTTGCATTCCACTAATGAGTTCAGACGGACTTGAATTAGTGCGCTTTTTGGAAGTCTGAATTACTGAACCTCTTGCACTGGTAGAACTGATGAAAATTTTTAGGAAATGGTGGTGGTTACTGCAAGGAAAAATTACCATATTTTGCTAATGGGTATTCAACTATCTTTCTTTAATAAAAAAAAGGAAATAAAATCACGGTAATAAGCCTTCATCCTAATGCCGTCCATGGACCACATTATCACTCCGTCTTCAATTTCTTTAGAAGTTTTATGCACACGTCAAGTGAAGCGAACGAATGAGTCTCTGTATGTGTCAATTCTCTCCTAACTTACATTATGCTTTCCCCGAGACTTTTTGCGGAACGGTACAGGATTAGACTGCCCAGAGTTCGACATTATCGCCCAATTTGGAACGAAATATCACAATGTGCGACAATATTGGACGTTTAGGACGAAATGTCACATTGCGCGAGAATGTTGCGCATGTTTCAAAGAAATATCACAATACGGGACAATATTGTACCTTTCAGGACTAAACTTCGCATTACACAGCATTGCACGTTTAGGACATGACCTCAAAACACAGAAATATGTATATAGTTTCACAAGTATGCAGTATAACGTTTTATAATGAATACAACAAAGTTTTCGTGGTCCATTCCACAGGTGGACAGATCCACCAGTGTAACCGGGAACTGCCTGGCTTAAGCAAGCGTAAAGCAAAAACTTAATGTAAATATCAACTTCTCGTAGCCCGTCAAATGATCATGGATAATTTAGCTTACTAGTATTGGCCGCAAATACCAAGACACCTCCCTCCCATAGGGAGAAACGGCGCGTTTTTTTTTATTAAATCACCCTAAATGTATGGCATGACAGCATCCAAAGAGACAAGATTAATACCAAATATCTCTCGTTGGTCGTTAAAGTGCGTGTACAATACCGTAACAATGGAACAGTATTGTACATTCACTTCCGAGGCACATTGGGCGAAGTAAAAGACTTTATTTCAAAGCCTACTAAAAAAGAAAACAGGGTCATCCTATACGTGATTTTCCCTTACGGAAAAATCCTATAGGATCCTATAAGATTTTTGAAACATGGAAACCTTATAAGAATCCCATAGGAATCCTATAGGATTCGTATAGGATCCTATAGGAATCCTGCAGGAACCTTATAAGATTTTCATATTTCAAAAATCGTATAGGATCCCATAAAAATTTTCCGTAAGGGTACAGACCACGTCTGGGAAAAGTTCGACTTCTTGATTGCGAACGTGCATCATTTTGTGTTTAAATTTCAATGCATACCTTATTCATTCACAGGTGGAAGGAACGACTTGTTGTGTATTAGCTCAACCACATATACCGTTTTTGGATTGCCCCAAGAAAAAAGAGACTTAGATATGAGCAAGATATCTATGCGATTTTAATACATGAAAGTTTGAAAGAAAGGGAAAATCAGTAAGCAACGAATGCTATGGTAAAATAATGAGAAAAAAAATTGTTGCATTAGGCTTTAGTTTCAAATCTTCCATGCGTCATTATTTGTTAGTGCTACTTGCACAAGCACGCCATATGGCGTGTTTGGCGTAGCATGTCGAAACTCTGAACACGCCATATGGCGTGAACGGCAGCGAAAGTGTTTTGAAAAAAAAAAGTTGAGTCGGTTGAGAGTTGATTCGGATGCCTCAGTTTGGCCATTGAAGGTTCACGGCGACATTTCTTTTGAAGTCAGAATTCAGTAGAGAAGGTACGGGTAGTTATAATTCTGTTGTCACAAGAGTGAGCACTCCCCTTTGGCTGATGATAACGAGTTGTCTCGATTGGAAGGGGAATGCGGACTCATCACCGTATCGACACCGCGAAGAACGATCATTGGGATGATGATCCCGATCGGCAGGTCAATTTTCCGATTGCATTCTTCAACTGTATTAATCCTCCGGGTCTCCTTCCCCACGCCCTAAACCTTACCATTAGAGCTATTGGAATGCTTCTGTGGAAACTCCAGATTAGGAGCGACATTTGCCACGGCACGCATATGATCATCAGACATATAAGCGTAAATGTTTTTAATGTTCAGATGATCACGGGTGTGCTTCGTGGCTCTGTCCACAGGGTCAGCGCTGAAACGATAATTTTTCAATTTGACCCAAGATTAAAATGAAAGAAAACATTGGAAATGGTTCCAGGGTTGCAGTACCCTGGATTTAGTCCTCCACTTTATTACCAGTCTAAGAAATTACAACATTGCAATGCCAATTATTGAAATGCTCCCTCCCACTGTAGTAGCACGCCAATATTGGGACAATAATGACAGCAATGGAACATTTATAATGGATTCTGAAAGTACTAATTTCAATACTTTCCAGGGAATGATCCCCTTTCCTGCTCTGCAGAATACTCAAATCTTCCTTTTCTTCCTTGAGGGCGGAATGATCAATCTTCCCCCAGAGATGCAGAAAGAAGTCATGAGCCAATGTGTATAAACATAACATAACATAATATAAACATAACATTACTTTAGTGTTGATCTAGTATGATTTTTCAGATGCCCAACTGTGAAGCTGTTTTGAAGAGATGAAATCATGACTGGGCAATATTGCCACCACTGCACAACTTGAAGCTTCTTTTTAGAATTTTTACAGCAATTCTTGGAAGAAATGGACTTGAGCCATTTTTTCATCATTGGATATGGCACGGGGGTTTCTGCATTTTTATGCGGAATTGTGTTTTATCTGCTGCACTTCAATGCAAATTCTACAATAGGACAACATACGATCCTCAATCATATATTTAGTTACATTTATTTTCTCACTTGCTGGAATTGAACGACGTCCACCAGGCTCATCCTACAATTTAATATGTTCATACCAGAACTTCAAATAACTGTCGTCCAAAAGTATATAGATGGGGCAAGAGCATAATTTATCATTTCATCGTCTCAAACACTTACCCAGTTAGGTGCCTAGAAAACCCTGCAAAATCAGTACTAGCAACTGTATCATAGTCATTGATTGGGAACTGACTGAGAGACTTGATCTCCTGAATCTTTTTCCATCGCTCCCTCAAGACGCCTGACGTTCGAGTCCCCGACGATTACAATGGCCCGAGTTTTCCCTCTCCCTTTCAACACGGCCAGAGCTCGTCCTGCCGACCTCAAACCAGCTCCGTCCCCCCCCCTCCGTTCCCTCATCCAATCTGACCTCTCTCAACCTGAGAAACTTGTTTTCGGTCTTAATGACCGCCCCCTGGAAACGCTTAACCTTCCCCCCCTTTACGACCTGAGCCCAATTACTAGCCACCTGGGAGTCGGGACTCGACGCGCTGCCAAAGGACGAAAGGGCCACCCACCCAGCAAAGTCTGGAAGGCTGGGGAACCCCCGGAGTGTCTCCTCCACCCTAACTAGCCTCGCCACTAAATCATCTCTCTCCCTATCGCCTATTTAGTTAAGTGATGTATTTAAATGGTAACGAGTGCCATTTTTTTGTATTTGTTGGTTTGGTGCGGTGTTATCAAGTATCAGGGGGACAGGAAAGTAATGTATTTTTTTCTTTTAATCACAAACATTTGTTTTTATGAGACTTTTTTTTTAGTTTCAATCAATTAGCGCAAAACACATCGAACCATTCTTAGTTCATGGAAATCATTGGGTGAACACGTCTGACCAATGTGTCACAAGGGTAGGGGAACATGCAAGCATAGTCTGCAATGAAACATTATAGTTTTGGCCTAAATACCTGGCTCCAACGGCGAGGCCAAAAATAATTACGAACATATGCATAGCATGGCCGAAGCCTAGAAGGGCTGAAGCATCGACCCTAGCGGTTCCAGGTCACTTCTTCCAGAAACACTTCAAAGCCACTTCTTCGACAGGACGTGTCGACGTCAAAATAAGTGTCCGTTCGAAGAAATGACCTGGAATCGACTCTAGCTGAGGTTACAGAAAAGGCCAGAAGGAAAAATGAAAATGAAAAAAGTATGTAATATCACCGAAAAGGCATTGCACAGTCCACCATGCCTTTAATCAAAGCGTTCGTTAATATAACGCCGATGCTTCCAGAACATACGAGGATATACTGCTCAACCAGAATACAGGGTGGTCTAGGTCGAATATAACGAACCAATCTGAATATTTATAGGAAATACCGCACTGACGATTATATCCAACCTTGCAGGAGATTATGATACCTAGGCATGTCGAAGAAGAGGCATCTCTTTTCGAGGCATCACCCAATTGCACGATGTCCAAAGCAGTAGGGGAAAACCACGTCACACACATGTCCCATATGACCATCTTACTATCTTGAATGCTCAATCTACCGCAACCATTCCGTTAATATCAACTTTAAGTCGATGTGCTGGTGAAGATCGAATTCCCCTCACTCTCTGAGGAAAACGACAAACGAATGAAAAGCCAAATGAGAAATCAGAACAGCAGGGTCTCACACGGATCGTCCAATAGAAACATGGGGAAAATACGTAAAAGGACTCATTCCCATTGCTGAATGTATCGGTCATAATGTGCAGGTCAGTGAGGGGAGGCGCAGATGAACACGGTGTGTTCTAAGGACAGAGAAAGACACCACTTCATTATTTTCATTCACAATGACATCAGAGGTTATAAAACAACTACCTCAAGTGGATGAAATATTTTCGTCGCTCTGATATCCTCGAAAATTTCAGCAAAATTCGATGTCACAATATTCCCAAAATGGATCCGTTCCAGCTCCATTGTAACACCAAGGCCCCTCCGGATTGAAATTAGGATTACGACAAAAGTTGTGAGAAGGATGCATGTTGTCAGGAAACGATTCAGGGCTCCGGTACCAAAAGTCAGAAGATTTGGTATTAGATGAAATGATCATCCACCGCTGGCAAGGTAAACCTGATTTCGTGATGTTCTTCGTTCCAATGTACATGTCTCCAATTAGGGTATCTTTGCACTCCAATGGACCTAGTTTAGGATGAAAAAAGGAGGAATGTAATGCAGAAGGAGGTAGGAACGTTTATGTAACGATATTCCATGAAGGGAAAATGAAGTACAGTTATCCTAAGAAACTCAAGAAAACAAATCAAAACCCACTTATGCAATTTCCTGAGACACGAACATCGCATCGTTCTCCTTCTGTCTTGGGACAAAAGGGCACATCACAATACTCCCAGCCCTCCTTCGAATCCTTCGAATAACACCATGGGCCATGGCCAAAGTTATCAGGGTTGCGGCAAAAGTTGTGTCTCCCGTCAACTTCGTCAGGAAATGTCGATAGTGATCGGATAATCTGATAGTGAAACGAAGGTTTCGATGCCAGCCAATGTTGGCATCGAAATCCCGAAATGGTAGTATTCTGCCTTCCAACGTACTCACCGCCGCTTGTTGTCAATTTACATTCCGGCGGCTCTAAAAGAGAAGAAAAACGCACTCAAGTTGTGAAGCAGGAAATTTCACAACAATTGTATTGAGGAACATACCGAGATTCTGACATAAGGGAATGTCGCAGTATTCCCACTCGATGTCTGGTTGAGAGATGAAGCACCAAGGCTTATCCCTGTACAGAGCAGGATTCCGGCAATAATTCTTGTGGATTGCTGGGTCGGAATAGATGAAGTGATCCGGATATCCCGCTTCTATGTTGAAGAAATCCCACGGCATACCATATGGATTTTTTTCCCAATCCACGCAAGGCTTTCCCGTCTCGGTCACACTGTTGGTCCCCACATATTCCTTCCCTTTTTCTGTCAGTCTGCATTCGGGATACACATTCCCCTGGGGCCCACCTTGAACTTCTCGGACCTTGCAGAAGGGGATGTCACAGTATTCAGAGACAAGATATTCATCCTCAATGAAACACCAAGGAGCGGCATCTGCATCAGGGTTACGACAGAAGTTGTGGGACTCCCTAGTTTCTCCGTAATCCGGAAATGCCGGTAGGAAGAATGTCCCGTTTCCAGGGATTATTATGCTCCAAGGTTCCATCCATTCTTGGCACGCCAACCCTGAATGGCTCACGTTCGTTCTTCCAATGTATTCACCGCCCTGTTGAGTTATCTTGCACTCTGGAGGGTCTGTGAGAAACGAATGGCTAAATGCATGTTCATGATTGCCTCACAAAGTCATTGGAAACCTGATATACATGATTTGTTATACATGAAGTCATTTTCAGGCGATCAATATGAGTATTTGGAAATGAAAGGAACACGCCCGCATCAGCATTTTTTTAATAATATCTGCTTCATGTTTCTTAAAGCTTTGTTAACATTATACGATGAGAAATAAAAAATGATCTAATCGAGTGTTGGTATCCAGTCGATGGCTTCCGATGTTGCATGATGCAATTCGGCAGCTGATCCAGGGAAGGAGTATATGAGGCAGTCGCTGAGAACATGCTCTTTGGTTTGAATTTCGCCACATTCAGATGACGGTCAGCATTTGGTACTCCATCTGGGCAAATGATCTGGACATTTACGTTGGGACTTTTGAAAAGGATTGATTGCACCCACATGTTGGGGCTACGGCAATCACCCAGGAAGCTTGGACGTGGGTTCGAAGATGCAGTTCTTTTCTTGATCTCGACATCATCCAATAAAGCTTGCAACAATTCATCCGGTCCAGTGTACGTGGGTCTGGTTTGCTTTGCTTCGCCCACTGAGCAAAAGGTTCTGCATGACTTAAGGGGCGCCCGTGGCGTTCATGGTGATGGTGTCATGGAACGGTGTTGATGCGTTTGAGACAGTCTTGGAGTGGTTCGGATTTAGACTCCAACATTAGGAATGCTCTTTTAAAGTTGGCGGATCAACTTTCAGTTGACACTCTGCATTCTCGATGATTGATGCCTATGAGGCTATGGGCATGCCCTCGGCGTTCATAGATTTACTACTCTCCGTTGACGGTATCTGGTTGATCCACAGGTTGAACAGGTACGTCGTCAGCAGTTTCCTCAAACTCGTTCCTCGTTTAAAAGACGTCATCGCCAAAGCTTTTCGACTTCATTTTTTATTGTCTGCAGACTGTTACATGTAATCATCATTTCTTTGTTTTTCGTAAATGAAAGCTGCAGCATGACTCTGTCCTTTGGATCGCTTCGTGTCTCACATGGGTAACCCTTGATCTTATACTCCTGCAGGACTCCCCACAGTTTTCCTCGAGGTATAAGTTCGTACACTTTTTCGAGGTCTACAAAGCACATGCAGACAAATTCAACATACTCCCAGTGACTCTCGAGGATGTCGAAATTGAACAGCTAGTCCGTGGTGCTGCGCTATTCATGAAAGCTGTCAGGCTCCTCTTGAATGGCTTCACCCACAACTACCCGAGCTCCATTCTTACAGCATTATGGAATAGACTTCACCAGGTATTCTGAGGAGAGTGATCCAACGATTGTTCGTTCACTCTCTTAAGTCCCCGTTTTTAAAAAAGAGTAGCCGCAACACCTCCTTGCTAATCCCTATGTTCCGCTCCCGATTCCCAAGCGAAAGTATTTGATAATATTTTCCTACTCAGGAAATTTCAGGCTGAAATCCTAGGACCACTAGGCGTGGACAGACTCAGGTTTTTCCTAACGGGCGGGGTCACTGGACCTTGCGAGGCTGAACATTTTTATGTGGGGATTAATGCAATCCCTGGTTTTTACTTTATCTACGAAATCGTATCTTCACGGTTGCCCCATTGCACAATAAAAGCAATAATACAGATTAAGTGATACAATAGTACAATAATATAATGATACAATAATACCGTCCCAACGAATCGTAATGATTTGATGTTTGAAAAAACCTTTTTTTGCAAAACAATACTCCTATTCACGTTTATATATTTTTGTGGAGCGTTTTACGATAATTTTGACATTTCGTGAAATTTTGGAATTACGTGATGGGAGATGCCAAAGTCGATCGGCAATGATCTTCTTAAGTACGATTTCACGTGCACGATAGCGTGAATCGACGCGATTCGATATGCTGGAAATCATTCTTTGAGAGTCACTTCATGGGACTTATCTGAATCCGCAGATGAATGTAATCTTGGCCTTTAATTCGATGCCTTGCCTATCCGGGAAATATGCGCTAAATTTTTCTTCCTTTCCATGATTTCACCATTCCTATAAATGGTGATTGTTGCGTATCATATATATTTCGAAAAAAAATGGGTACCTCATTAAAACTCTCATAACTCCATTCATTTTCATCCATTTGAGTTCAACGAAGTGTCAGCTACATTCCCACAAAACGCTCTACAAAACTTAAAAACGCGATGAGAATATGTGCAAATTAAAAAAGCAATTAAAAAAATCAAATCGTTGCGATTCGTTGGGACACCATGTACATTTCAAAATTAATGACGTTCATGCGGTTAATAAATATTGGACGTTCAACAAAATATACAACAAAACTCCATTCCTCAGGTGCATCAATTAGCAAGTGATGGGGGCATATGAAAGAAGACGAGGGGGCTATGAATAAATAATTACCCTCATCCGTGCACATGGGGATATCACAATATTCCCATTCTGCATCTTCGTCCATGACGAAACACCATGGCCTCTCTTTTCCAGATGGGTTGCGGCAGTAGTTCTGGTGAGACCAGGTATCCAGGTTGGAAAAGTGCTCAGAATACGTAACGTTTGCGAGAGAGTCATTGGGTGTTCCGAAATCCTTAGAGTCCCATCTCAGGCACTCCTTTCCTGATACTGTCTCATTTACCTTCCCGATGTATTCTCTTCCCATATCTGTCAAACGGCACTCTGGATACTTATACAGCGGCGTACCTGCAAATAATAATATACTGTAGAAGAGCAACAATGAATGCAAACGTATGGAACCAAAGGAGCATGAGCAGTTTTGGTCCTTGAACAAATTTCAAATACATATATATATATATATATATATAGATCGATGTTTCAAAGCCAGTAAAATTGGCACACTTGCGGAAGAGACATTGGAAGAGTCATTGCAATTAATAACTCCGTCATTATTTCAGAGATCGACAGCATCTACCCAGGATGCTTGTCACTCGAGAAAACTGGTGAACCCCCTTTCAAAACAGGGCACTACTTAGACCTTAATATTAGTAAGGGCTAGCCCTTCTATCAGTGATTGTCCATCTTATTATATATATATATATATGTATATGAAAAGTATATCCTTTCGAGATAACTTATTCAGGACAACCTAGGTGCTGGGAGCGATAGCCGACAACAACAGACACCTAGGCTAATTATATTCAAAACACGCCGAACAAGCCAAACCTACAGCCAGCACGAGTCCGAACTATTGAGGGAAAATGAGATGAGAATACTAAAAAACCGAAGGATAGCTAAGGAGGCCTAATGGACTAGCAAGTTGTAGGAATCTCGTCAGGGGGCACGATCCTACCAAACAACTTGCAGTGTAGTAAAACCCTTTTCGACATCTCCACACCAGGGAATGATCATTAAGGAAGAAGACAGTGGATGGGGCAACAGAAGTAACAGAAAGCTTCCACAGCTTAAGTCCGTCCTACATGCACCTCTTCTGCGCAGTCCATCAGCTTGACGAGGTTCACACCTGTGGTTCCTATAGGAAACTAGTGCAGAGCGTTCTGTGCATGTAGACATGACGATGCTTAAGTCACATCTGTATGACTACTGTCTGGCAGTAAGGGGTTTCCCCTGGTGTGGAGATTCGTGCCCAAAGGGTTCTACCACTTCCCTGGGCTTTTAATCGAAGAGAGATTGGTAAAGAGAGAGCCAATGCGCTGGGATCATTAACTGGTACGAGTAATAAATTAACTGCAATCCGAGCTTGAGTATGTGTCAGAGAGAGCCAACTCTGAACCGGAAATATAACTGTTACCAATAGAAAAAGATCTAGAAACATGACAGGAAGAAAGAGGAGAAAAGGCAGAAGAGGAAAGCTATTGTAGAGAGGAGGAACTTGGCTCCTGACCTAGAGCCTGTATTCTCGCTTAGGCCTATGGTCCATAGGCTATAATCCGGCCTATGTCTAAGTCATGGCCCAGTTAGCCCTGGCCTATGGCTTAGGAGTCGTGACTTTGGAACCTGTCTAGGAAGGGTCACACTTTAAGAAAGAGGAAAAAATACCTTCTCCACCCACCTCTCTGTATTTGTTTGATATTGGCAAATATTGGGTTTTATTGAAGAGCTTAAAGTTTTTGCTAAGCATCCAACCTGGATATCCATTATAGCTCAATGTCTAATGAAGAAGGTCGCTGTTGAAAATGAAATCATCCTTTAAATTGCAGATTTGCAAATATCGATTTAGCTGCGATTTTATCACAATTTTGATTATGTGGGAGGGAATGTTAGAGCGGTACATAGGCATGTTCAGTATTTTAAAGAAATAGTCCCTTCTCTTATCATAGATACTGGTTAGTATCTGCGAATTTGAAATACTTAGGTTTAAATCCAAGTAGTGTGCCTTAGGAAATGGTGGTTGAGTTGTTTCTATAACTTAACTTCTATGCAATCCGGATAGATGTTATTAATATCACGATCTATCCTGTCATTGTTAATGGCCAGGAGATCATCTATGTATCGGAATATGAAGGCATAATTCTCAGAGAAGGGTTTTCTTTAATAAATTTTGATTCATAGAAAAACAGGAAAAGGTTTGCCATGTTCGTGGAATAGGTACTCCCCTTTGTGATTCCGACTATTTGCTGAAAAAGTCGATTCCCAAATTGGATATAATTACACTCTAGGCTTGTTTTGAGCAGTTGAGGAAACCTTCCATTGTCGATTTCACCTTCGATCGTGACAAACGATCGTGACTGACTGACGCTAATTCAAACCATGTTCTTGAAGGGTTAGAAATCTGAGACTTGGCATGGACATGCCTACCGAGACGATGAGTTCAGGAGAAATTTGATATTTTAGATTCATGCCAAGTGGGTGCATTTTTTTAGGGGCCAACGTTTTCGTCATTTTTTAACCCTGGCATATTGAGCTGATATGGAAAGATGAAACTTGGTACATAACTTCCTATTGGGATGCTGCATGCAGAATAATTCGGACTTTGGAAGTAAATGCCCCAGGGGCTCAAATTTCAAAGGGAGATGTTTTCAAATAATTTTTTGCATCAGTTAAATTGATGAACATGGAAAGCTGGAACTTTGCATGAATGTGACTACTGAGACAAGGAGTTAAAGAAAAATGTTAAGTATCGACACATCCCCATGGAGGAATTTTTTCGAGGTGCAATGTTTTAAAAAAATACTTTTGTCGTGGCGAATTGGACAGAAATGGAAAGATGAAACTTGGCACACGTATAAGTGACATGATATTATTGAGTTCATTGCGTCCTCTCCGGACATAGCTTTTGGGTGGGTTGGCTTTTCCAAATATGTTTTTTCACCAGACGATCGTGAGTAGCTGACCGACTGACATAAGTAGCTATTTGCATGCTTCGTTTAGGACAAATTCTACTTTGGTGATACATGCCATAGGGGCACACCTTTTCGGTGAACATATTTTCAAATAGTTCTCTTTGCTTGAATGAAACGGAGACACATGGAAAGCTGAAAATTGGCAGGAACGTGACTGCTGACGCATTGAGCTTAGGAAAAATGTAAAATCTCCAAAATTTTGGCATTTTTGGAGGGATATTTATTGGGGATTTTACTTTTTCCAATAATTTCTCATATCCAAGCGAATCGGGCAGAAATAGGAGAGGAGCAGGTCGCACACGCATAACGGACGTAATGTTGATTTAAGGAAAAATTCAAATTTTGTTGCGCGTCTCCTCAGAGCACAGCTTTTGGGTGGGTCGCTTTTCTAAATACGTTTTTCTATCGCCAGCAATAAGGGGAAACGTATGAGGCTGAAACTGGGTGTCATGGAGTTCCCTGAGTCTACATTTCAGAAGGAAAAAAAGTTTCGTTAAAACCCATTGGGGCACTTTTTTTTAAGTCTCATTTTCCTGAATTTTTTTTCCTGAGCCACTGAAACAGAGACAAAATTTAAAATCCCTCAGAAGTACCTATTTGATGGCTGAGTACAGGAAAAATCCTATTTTGAAATATGTCCTCTTAGTATAGATTATAGGAGGGAAATAATTCGAAACGTATTCTCCACCCTTACAAAAAGGGACACATGAAAAGATTTCAAGTTAGACACACTAGAAATCTTAGAAGTAATGATTTTGATAAAAATGAAGACTCATGAGAAAATGAAGAAGAATCGGAGCCCCTTCGATCAACAAGTTAAGCAGCGTCAGCATGGTCACAACCTGGATGGGTGACATGGGAACATCGAGCTGCTTGCCTAAAGCGGTGCTGGGCACTTCAACGATAAAAGGGCGGATGAGACTCTCGACAGTCCAACGGCCGTG